GGTCACAGGCCTGGCGAGCACGGAGTGCGGCGGAGACCGGGGAGGCGGGAGTGACCGACGGCTTTTCTCTGGGGGCTCACTGAGGAGCGGGGCCCCGAGTTCTCGGCTCCTCCAGGGCAGAGATTGGGAGGCTGCCATTTTCACTCTCGTCTTCCAAAGCTGTATGGAAAGCTTGCAGGGAACAAAAGCTCCGGAGAGTAAACCCAAGCAGATTACTTAGCCCGACCCGGCAAGGGCAGGGCAATTCCGCCTCCAGCAAAGACATTTGGGAACCACGGCAACAGGCCCCTCCCCAGAAGATCAGCGACAACAGCCAGCCAAGACCAAGTTTACCGATCAATGAGAACGGCAGAACTCCAGTGCTAGGGGAATACAGCACATAGAATTCATGGCTTTTTACCATGATTCTTTAGTCTTTCAAAGTTAATTTTTTTTAACTGTCTTTTTTTAAAATTTTTCTTTCTCCCTTTTTCAACCAACATCTTATCAATCCCTTTTTTAAAAAAATATTTTTTATTTTTCATTTTTAGAGTCATATTCTCTCCCTTCATAGTAGTTACCCTTATTTTTGGTATATATATATATATGAAGGGGGGGAAATCGGAGGGATGGACGAACCATGAGAGACGATGGACTCTGAAAAACAAACTGAGGGTTCTAGAGGGGAGGGAGTTGGGAGGATGGGTTAGCCGGTGATGGGTATTAAAGAGGGCACGTTCTGCATGGAGCACTGGGTGTTATATGCAAACAATGAATCATGGAACACTACATCAAAAACTAAGGATGTAATGTGTGGTGATTAACATAACATAATAATAAAAAATAAATAAAATATAAAATAAAAAATAAAACACAGCCAGTGCCAATTAAAACTAAGAAAACAAAAACAAAACTATAGGCCCATATCCCTGATGAACATAGATACAAAAATCCTCCACAAAAAATATTAGCAAATTGCATACAATAATATGTTAAAACAATCATTCCTCATAATCAGGTAGGATTTATTCCAGGGACCGAAGAATGCTTCAATATTTGCAAATCAATCAATGTTCTACACCACACCAACAAAATGAAGGGTAAAAATCATGATCATCTTAATAGATGCAGAAAAAGCATGTGACAAGATTCAACCTCAATTTATGATAAAAACTCTCAACAAAGTGGGGGTAGATGGAATATACCTCAACATGATAAAGGCCATATGTGAAAAACCCACAGCTGACATCATACTCAATGGTGAAAAACAGAGCTTTCCCTCTGAGCTCAGGAATAGGATAAGGATGTTCACTAATCATTTTTATTCAACATAATACTGCAAGTCCTAGCCACAGCAATCAGACACAAAGAAGAAATAGAGGCATCCATGTTGGTAAAGAAGAAATTAAACTGTCATGATTTACAGACAACATGATACGATATATATACTATATATAGAAAAATCCTAAAGACTACACCAAAAACTTACTGGGAGTAATAAACAAATTTAGTAAGGTGGCAGGATACAAAATTAATACCCAGAAACCAGTAGCATTTCTGTACTCTAACAATGACGTTGCAAGAGAAATGTAAAAAACAGAACAACAAGAACAACAAAAAAACCCAACACCATTTACAACTGTGCCAAAAATAAAATATCTAGGAATAAACTTAACCAAATAGGTGAAAGACCTGTACTCCGAACAGTATAAAACACCGATGAAAGAAATTGAAGATGACACAATTGAAGTTGGACTAGAATATTGTTAAAATGTCCATATTGCCCAAAGCAATTTACAGATTCAATGCAATCTCTGTCAAAATACCAAGTGTTTTTCACAAAACCAGAACAAATACTAAAACTTGCACAAAACTATAGAAGACCCTTAATAGCCAAAGCAATCTTAAGAATGAAGCTGGATATATCACAGCTCCAGGTTTTAAGATATACTACAAAGCTGTAGTAATCAAAACACTGTGGTACTGGCACAAAAACAGACACATAGATCAAAGGAATAGAGACTCCAGAAATAAACCCATGATTATATGGTCAGTTGATCTATGATAAAGGATGCAAGAATATACAATGGGGAGAAGACAGTCTTTTAAATTAATAGTGCTGGGATTACTGGACAGCTACATGCTATAGAATGAAACTAGACCACTTTCTAACACGAAACACAAAAATAAACTCAAAACGGACTAAAGACATATATGTGAGACCTGAAACCATAAAAATCCTGTAAGAGGACACAGGCAGTAATTTCTCTGACATCAGCAATAGCAACATTTTTCTAGCTAGGTCTCCTGAGGCAAGGAAAACAAAAGCAAAAATAAACTATTGAGACTACACCAAAGTAAAAGGCTTCTGCACAGGGCACCTGGGTGGCTCAGTGGTTAAGTATCTGCCTTTGGCTCAGGTCATGATCCTGGGGTTCTAGGATCAAGCCTTGCTTTGGGCTCCCTGCTAAGTGGGGAGCCTGCTTCTCCCTCTGCCCCTTTCCCCTACTTGTGCTCTCTCTCAAATAAAATCTTAAAAAAATAAAACTAAAAGGCTTCTGCCCAGCAAAGGTTTGAAACCACTGACAAAACAAAAAGACAACCTACTGAATGGGAGAAGATACTTACAAATGATAGATCCAATAAGGGGTTAATATTCAAAATATATGAAGAACTTATACCACACCAAAAAACCAAACAATCCAATTAAAAAAATGGGCAGAGGACCTGAATAGACATTTTTCCAAAGAAAACATACAGATGGCCGACACATGGGAAGATGCTCAACATCACTCATCAGAGAAATACAAATCAAAACCACAATGAGATATCACCTGACAACAATTAGAATGGTTAAAATCAAGATGACAAGAAATAGCAAGTGTTGGCAAGGATGTGGAGAAAAAGGAATCCTTGTGCACTGTTGGTAGGAATGTAAATTGGTATAGCCACTGTGGAAAACAATGCAGTTTCCTCAAAAAATTAAATATAGAAATACCATATGATCCAATAATTTCACTATTGGGTATTTACGCAAAGAAAGCAAAAACACTAATTTGAAAAGATATATGCACCCTGTGTTTATTGCAGCATTATTTACAATAGCCAAGATATGGGGACAACCTGAGTGTCCATCAATAGACAAATGGATAAGGAAAATTTGTACACACACAGACACACAAATATTACACAACTATAAAAAAGGAGGAAATCGTGCCATTTGAGATAACATAGAACTAGAGGGTATTATGCAAAGTGAAATAGGTCAGTCAGAGAAAGAAATATTGCATGATTCCACTCATAAGTGGTCTCTAAAAAAAAAAAATGAAGCAAATGAATAAACAAAAAGCAGAAGCAGACCTATAAATACAGAGAACAAACTGGTGGTTGCCAGAGCCAGTGGGGGGGGGGGCCCTAGAGTGTCAGGCGAAATAGGTGAAGGGGAGAGGGAGATACAGGCTTCCAGTTGTGTCATGAGTAAGTCACAGGAATAATAAAAAAAAAAATTACAGCATAAGAAATACTGTGAATGAATTGATGATGTAAAGGGACAGATGGTAGCTATAATTGTGAATGAACATAGCATGATGTATAAACTTGTCAAATCACCTTGTTGTATACCTGAAACTAATGTAACATTGTGGGTCAACTATACTAAAAAAAAAAAAAAAGACTGTTTATGTCACATTATAAAAAATAATTCTGCCCAAAGACTTTTTGTTTTTTTTTTTTTCTTCTAGATTTTGAAATCAGGAATGGAAATATTTCATGACTTCACAAGAAAGTGATGCTTCTCAACCATGAAACTAGGTCAGTGTTGATTCTTCTCTATAATAATTTTACGGAAATCACTTTGTAACTGAGATTGACAAATTATTAGGAGATCTTCTCATCTTCAACAACTAATGATAATTCAGAATATTTGAGAAGTAACAAACATTTAAGAAACTAGGGATTTGTTAAATTTTTAAACAAGTATTTATGCCCCTTCCTTACTGAATACTCAATTATACATTCTTTATATGCTTTAGAATTTTTTTAAGTGGGGGGGGGAAGAGAGAGAGAGAGAGAACACGCTGAGTAGGGGGTGGGAGAGGGAGAGAGAGAATCTTAAGTAGGCTCCATGCTCAGTGAGGAGCCCGACTCAAGGCTCAATCTCATGACCCTGAGATCATGACTTGAGCCAAAATCAAGAGTTGGATGCCCAACAAACTGAGTCACCCAAGCACCCCTGCTTTAGAATTGTTCTAATTGCTCCTGTTTGAGAGCTAATTTTTGCATTCATTTAAATAAATAAGGTAGGACAAACTATCACAACAGCAAAACATAATATTTACTATATTAATCAGCTACCCTTTTTTTCCCCACCCTTTCTCCAGTTTTCTAGGTCAACTTGTGTCTTTAATTTTGGTTTTCTTTTCAGCTCCGAGTTCATTATACTATGGATGTGGATTTAAAGAGCTCAGTCTAGTTAGAGGCTGCTAAGTTTCAGGTGCAAGGACTAAAATTTCCAAGAGCTGCATATAACTGTTATATTAAACAACAGAATTTCCTGACAAACTAATGTAAAAAGCATCCAGGATTAAACAAAAATGTGCAAAGTGCCTGGTACAATTTGTCCTTTTCACTGTAAAATGTTAATAAGATAGTTTGTTCTGTTATTATGATCTCTTTACAGTGAAGAGAATAATTGAAGGAGGTACTTGGGAAATACACAGATGTTTGTATGTGCATGCATTTCAAAAATGACAATACTTTGGGTATATATTATATATATATCTTATATGTTCAAAGACCTTTCATAGAAAACGGCAGTGCAATAAACTCTTTCTCTGAAGGTTATGATTTTTAATGTGATTTTAAAAATTATAAATAATGGTTATATCCTCAAAATGATGAAATATAAACCATACTACATATGAAAATCATTCAATAATTCTTATTCTGCAAAAATGCAGATTGACTTTTATTTACCAATACCGAAGTAAATTAAACTAAGTCAGTTTAATAATTTTTCTTACCCTTGTGATGGTAAACAGGTAGACTCTTCCTTCCTCTTTCTTTAAGTCGTTCATGTACATTGGTGCACCCACCAAGAGCACATCTGTAATGGTGTCTTTATTCACATCGATGGAACACAGCACACTCCCAAAATAGGAGCCGATCTGGAATGAGAAAGCCTATTAACCTTAGGATTCCTAGGACTCCTATACTCCTGATGTTACACTGAACTTTCATTTACTCATTCAACAAACAAAAGTCGAGTGGAACTGTCCATGGCATGATATTGGACGGGAGGGAAGTTCTCAGATGGAGTGGGACCGAGGACCAGGTGGAGATCCAGTGAAGGAAGAGAGGTTGGCCATCTGAATGTTCAGTGCATGCCTACGTGACTACCTCTGCAGGATTCAGAAACGGGTAAGAAAGCATTCGTTCTAGGGGCACCTGAGTGGCTCAGTCGTTAAGCGTCTGCCTTCGGCTCAGGTCATGATCCCGGGGTCCTGGGATCGAGCACCGCATCGGGCTCCCTGCTCAGCGGGGAGCCTGCTTCTCCCTCTCCCACTCCCCCCTGCTTGTGTTTCTGCCCTTGCTCTCTCTCTCTGTCAAATAAATAAATAAAATCTTTAAAAAAAAAAAAAAAAGCATTCGTTCTAGAACACGGTCATCGTTTTTCTCAAAATAAAAGCACCCTTCTTTAAAGTAGTAAAGAGGAGAGAAAAATATGTGACCATAGCTGGTTTGTGGTCAGGGAAGTCAAAGACTCATGTCCTCTTACTCCTGGAAAATCCATAGAGACAGGAGCATCACACTTAATCCCGGAGAAGGGAAATCTAAATGGTTGGTTTCTGACTCAAGGAAGGAAAATTTCTGTTGGTTGTCAGAGATCAGGGTTGCCCATTTCAGGGGCGCCTGGGTGGCTCAGTCGTTAAGCGTCTGCCTTCGGCTCGGGTCATGATCCTGCAGTCCCGGGATCGAGCCCCACATCGGGCTCCCTGCTCGGCGGGAAGCCTGCTTCTCCCTCTCCCACTCCCCCTGCTTGTGTTCCTGCTCTCGCTGTGTCTCTGTCAAATAAATAAATAAAATCTTTAAAAAAAAAAAAACTGCTTAGTAAGGAAATAGGAATCTGTCAGCTGGCCTCCGCTCCAGCAGGCCACGACTGGGAGTCATCAGCGGTTCTGACTACCAAACGGTCATGCTGAGGAGAAAGCGGTAGAAAAGAGAGTTGCTTTAATTTTAGAAACCTCAAAGCCACAGGACACCTAGACAGGCCCAGACATAGTAGCTCAGTTTTGACAATGCTGTACTGTTCTCTTGTCATTTTTCCTCTAGATCATTGGCTCTTTTTTTTTTTTTAATATTTTATTTATTTGACAGAGAGATAGCGAGAGCAGGAACACAAGCAGGGGGAGTGGGAGAGGGAGAAGCAGGCCTCCCACTGAGCAGGGAGCCCGATGTGGGACTCGATCCTGGGACTCTGGGATCATGACCCGAGCCAAAGGCAGACGCCCAATGACTGAGCCACCCAGGCGCCCCCGATCATTGGCTCTTAGTAGGAGCTTCCAACAGAGCCACGGTCGGTGCCTGTCATTAGGATCAAATAAGACCCAGGTGTTATCAATCGGGGGGAGTCAAAACCTTGCAGTTGGATATAACCAAACAGCATAGGCTTTGAGGCTGCACAGGACAGGGTTTTAATGACAACTCAACCCTATGAAAGCTATTTGACCTTAGGAGGGTAAGCTCTCAGTAACCTGTTAGAAGAGGATGGTAGATCTCAGTGTTGTGAAGATTTAAGGAATATATATATATTTTTAATTTTATTTAAGTTCAATTAACATATAGTGTGTTATTAGTTTCAGAGGTAGAGGTCAGTGATTCATCCAGTTGCATGTAACACCCAGTGCCCATGACATCACGTGCCCTCCTTTATGCCCATCACCCAGTTATTGATTTAAGGAATATTCAAGTAAATACAGATTACAGAACCAGCCACAGGTCGGTACTCAGTAAAAGCTAGTTTCCATTTCTATCAACTCCCACTCCTCCTCTGCCCCAGTCGTCCCTACAATTTCACCTGCTACACCATGGCATTTACCTGGTCACCTCGGTGAGCCTGAATAACCGTGACATTGCCATTCTCATTAACACTGTAGAGCACGATCTGGCCGGTATAATTTGCCCGAGGAGCACCAGCAACAAAATGGAGGTCTTTTTCAGTCGAAATTGCAGCCACAGAGTAACCTAGGAGAGAAGAGGTTGCAGAGTAGGTACTATTGAAATGCTCAGCCAGATAGGCTCGAAAAGTTAGTAGAGATGACCAGAGGTCCCTTTTCGTTGCACAGTGGGGGGCAGGGGAGTGTGTTAGAAGGTGGAGGACGGTCAGTAGTGTATCCTCCAGACTGAGAAGGTATTTTAATGCTGAAACACAAAGCAAGCCGCTCCGTATTGTTTACGGGGTTTTTTTTTGTTTTTTTTTTCGGTGTAACTTACTGACAAGGGCAATCCAGCAGGCAGGCAGGCAGGCAGGCACAGACGGACGGACGGACAATCCAAGACACTATGCAACTACTCTCCACCCCTACTTAGAGCTTCATCTCCAGCTTTTATGGAGCAACAGACATGGTGGTGAGGTCACAGGGTCGTTAGCTAAAGTGGTAGAATCTGTGTGCTGGAGAAGAGCTCAACGCAGAAGGCCAAGGATGGAGTCACTGTTGTCAGCACTCGTTCCCGGGGGATGCACAGTTCCCAGTGTCCCTGGGCGCATCCCTGCGGGCTCATCTTCCTTTTCCTAAGATGAACTGCTCCTGCCCTGTGACGGAAGCACTGCCCTGCAGAGGTAGGACACCTACCTATAAACCAGGCCCTAGATTCGGGGTTGTCCCATCAGCCGCTCATGAGCTTGGCACTGAACAAGTATTTCTTGAATGGATAATTACATGAATTTAAAAGGTAATGTCACGCAGTGTAACGAACATAGGCTTTGGAATCACACCGTCCCAGGTTCGAATTCTGGATTTGCCACTTACTAAGTTATTTACCTTTGGGAAAGTTATTAACCTCTTGGGCTCTCAAAGTAAAATGGGGATAATAATACTTTCTTCAAAGGGTTGTTGGAAGGATTTTTTTTTTCTTAAGTAGTTTCCACACCCAGCTTGGGGCCCAATGCAGGGCTTGAACTCATGACCCTGAGATCAAGACCTGAACTGAGATCAAGAGTCAGACACTCAACCAACTGAGGCACCTAGGCATCCCTGGAAAGATTAAAATGTTTATGTAGATAGATTTGCCAGCTCAGGAACTGTCCCATAGTAGGTGCTCAAAATCCGTGGCTGCTTATTATAGGAATAAAAAGACTAAGAACTCTAAAGTAATATAAGACTACCACTTACTATATTGGCTTTTAGGAACTGTTTCCATTTTAGAGAAGCACAATCACAGCTGCTTGAACAGCCAGAAGAGATCAGCAAGTGTAATACAGTGTGTCATTAAAGTTTTAGGATAAGGCCCGATTTGCAAAGAGGCAACATAAACATGTGCAATAAATAGAATAATTAGATGACACTTCAAGGGCTTTGCTGAACAGATCCCGAGATTCGGCAAGGGGCTCGTTTTAAAAAAGGGAACTTAAATTTGCTGAGTCAAATGCTGCTATGCCTTACCTAAATACGAACTGTGATTTTTATCTTGCAGAATTTGGTCAAAGGCTTGGTTAGGAAAGATCAAATGTCCATGAGATGTCTGCTGGACAACAGTCCCGCTCCAGGCATAAGCTCCTACTGCACCCAGCATCAGAATATCCTGAAATAATTGAAAAATGAAGATCATGAGCACAAACTACCTTTAAAGCACAAGAATGCAGCGTATGCAAAACATTGAAATAAATGGTCTAGATTTAAGGAGAAAATGATGAAGTAAAATGTATATGAATGTATGCTGATATATATCCACATTGTTCTACTATATTTTGTGCTGGAAAACCAGCCTTCCCCCAGGCCATGTTACCTTGATACATTCTGTAGATAAATCTCTACTACCCTACAGGAGGAGCACATAGCCATCTTCCAATTTCCATTCAAAGGTGTACATGGACAAATGCCGAACAGTTGTGAGCCTCCTGTCCCACATATTCATGAGTAAAGCTCAGGGTGGGATGTGAGGCATGCTTGAGAAGTAGGAAGTGCGGTTGGCAGAGGAGGAGAGGTGGGGCCCTGCTGCTATCCAGCCACGTCCTCTTGGGAGGCCCTCTTCTGACCTATTCTATTTTCCAATGTTCTTCCTCTTTCCTCTTGACCCCTTCTCAAATGTTCCTCCATCATCTATATCCTAGTCCATCTATTGGAAGATAGCAGAGCTACAATGATTCATCCAGTTGCATATAACACCCTATGTTACCATAGGGTGACATTCTATCTACTTGGAGAACAGCCATGGGTCAGCACAGCACCAGGAGAGGCTGGTACACAAACCAGGACAGGATGCTCTGGACTGACTCAAAATCCAACCAGGATCGTCAAAGCTGAAAGTCATCGTAGAGGGCAGGGTTTGTCAGGATGGGATTTATTATTTTTAAGTTTTTGATCTTAGATCTCAGAAAACATCAAAGATATGGATTTTGGATTGAAAAATATAAGCCATTAAAAATAGAGCAAAAAGGAAAATGTGTCCCATTTTGAGGACAAGAGACCATGAAATTGTGTTAATGCCTGTCATAAATTTGGGACTCCACATCAGTGTGCAGGAAGGGACTTCAGGACATGTACAAAAACCTCAGGAAGTTGTGTGCGGTATTTCTGAGGGAAAAACCCATAACTTTTACGAGCATTCCTAACTATTGGTGATCCAGACGAAGTCAGCACCTTTACTTCTAGAGCAAAAAACCAAGCCATTCCTGGTCCGTCCTTCTGGCAATCAAGTCCTCTGAGTTCATACTGTTCCCTAAGCTTTTCCAGTGTTGCCCATCTCTGTGTCCCCCTACTGCTCCACTGGGACCCTGAGCAGAATTGGAACCAGAGCCTGGGGAAGTGGATGTTTATGAGAAGGAAGAACACATTTTCTGAGCTAAGAAAGCTTTCCATCTCACATGTTTCCTAACTTCTCACTTTTTTCAACTATCTTCTGTCTCTGCTTGTTGAAAAGAGATACTCGGCACCTCAGAATTCAAGAGTGGCAGTGATGACAGGAGTTTGTGTTTTGTGTTTCGTTTTTTTAAAGATTTATTTATTTATTTGAGTGAGGGAGTGTGTATGCAAGAGCTGGGGGAGGGGAAGAGAGAGAGAGAGAGAGAGAATCTCAAGCAGACATGCCACTGAGCATGGGGTGGGCCCAATCCTAAGACCCTGGGATCATGACCTGAGCTAAAATCAGGAGTCACTTAACCAACTGAGCCACCCAGGTGCCCCAAGAGTTTGTGTTTTTAAATAAACTTTTCCAGTAGTTAATTGATTTAAAGGAAATTCCTGCAACGATAATCCCTTGAGTTAATATAGTGCCTGTCCCTTGGAGTACTCATACACATTGCATATTACCATTTCTTCCATAAAAAATCCCCGTGAAACAGGGAAGGGAAGGCGTTATTATCCTTCATCTTTTAGATGACAAATCAGCAGCACAAAGAAACCGAATGACTATGACTGGGAATCAGAACTGTTGATCGCTAGATGGCTGTTTTTTCCACTCTCTATATAAAGCTACTGTGCCCCAAAGTGTTCAGCCAAATGACAGCATGGCCGGAAGTTATCTGATATACACACGTTCTGAGGAGAGTAATCTGCGCTGATTCCCACTTGTGACATTTCCATCTGGAAGTTGTCTCCTCCTTGAACAGTACCTGGGAGATGGTAATTTCAAGAATTATATCACTGTCAGTTTTTAAATCAAATTTTCAAACACACATGCATGCGCATACACACACGAACACATGTGCACATGCACATATATGGACACACACACACATACCCCCACAGTGTTCTGATGTTCGCTCAAAAATATAGAGCTGGCAAATTCTGGGAGGGAGAAATCACTAAGGAAGTGTTCTAACAACAACCCACAAGACTTCCAAGGTAGTGTTTGAAATTGATGTTAATCTTGATCATGCATTAATGCACTTACTGGTATGCTTATGATGCTCCTGATATCAAAAACACTCAACATACGGGATGAGGTAAAATAAAACCTGAAGTGATGGCCTTTTTTAATAATTATTATTACTAGCTAAAAAACTAACTGAATTTTTAGCTTTTAAATATTGGTACTAGTAAGTGTACACACATCTTAGATGCAGTTGGAAGAGCCAGGCAGTTGATGTGTAATGAAGACCAAACAGATATTTATTTGGGTTAGGCTTCAGGATCCAGGGTTCAAGACTGAGTAGGAATTTTACCAGTTAGGAAGTTTGTCCTCTTTCTACATATGTGCTTGCCTCTGACACTCAAACCACAGGACCTAATTAGTATTAATTTTCCATACAGTGTGGTCAAATGATTACACTTCATTAATCTTCACAAAAAGGAATAAATTCCTGGACTACCACTTGGATATAGAGAGTGATATACATAATGTATACCATACGACACAGTCACTTGTTTAGAAGATGTAATAATGTATACAGGCTGAGTAGAGATAATTTTTTTAAAGGTTTTTATTTTTAAGTAATCTCTACACCCAACATGGGGCTTGAACTCACAACTCTAAGATCAAGAGTTGCATGCTACACTGACCAAGCCAGCCAGGTGCCCCAAGATAATATTTAATAAAGTAGAGCAGTGCTTCCCCAAAATCCAAAATAGCAGATAAGGCACAAAATCATTTCTAATTAGCATTTAGGTTGCATTGTGATTATTCATGTTCAGGCAACCACAAACAAGCATAAGTCATACCATAGGTAGCCAAATAATTTTATATTATTTTATATTATCTCAAGGCACATTAGATTTTGACAATGATTTCAACAACTCAGAAGTACCATTGGATGTTTAAAGAAGCAATAATATTTTTTGGGTAGAAATCTCCAGTGGATAATCAGGAGGTGAAGAAAAGACTAAGGAATGAATACTTAATTTAAGCAGTGCCCTTGGACCAAGTTTCTGAAAGAGAACTTGACCTATAATAGGTGCTCAGTAAAATAAGCTCTTTATTGCTGAGAGTTATTTGGGTTATTTGGGTTAACCAGGAACCAGAATTTGGGGACTTTTTACCAACTGGGAAGTGTGTTCCATACAGTGAGTTCTTGAATATGTGGTATTTCTACACTGACTAGACCTTCCAAGGCCATTTAAGTAAATTATTGTAGATCTGGGAAATAACAAGTTTCCTTGAAATCTGAACTATTAAAAATCTTCACTATGTTTTTCTAATTTTAAAAGTATACATGTTTGTTGTAAATGAATTCAAGAATTTCAGAAATTATGTAACAGTATAAAAAGGTAAAACTTTTAGATTATAAAAACTATGCAGGGTAAAAAGGTAAAACTGTTCACAGTTATAGTAGATATTACTAAATTGTCTTCCCCCCAAAGCTATACAATTTATAATCTTATCAATAGTGTATGAGCTTCTTTGCTTCCCCATAATATCTCCAAGATTATATATTACTATCTTTTAGGCACAAAGTAACATTGATTTAATTTACAATTTAAAATAATTACTGAAATTGGGAATATTTTCTTATGTTTATCAGCCATTTGTACCTTATCTTTTATGAACAACTCACTCATGTTGTCTATTTTAATTACTGATTCATAGGAGTTCTTTTCTTTTTTTTTTAGTCTTTAAGAATATTTTATCAAAATCTTTTCTTTTACAAATGGAGAAATAAAGGTCAACAGAATCGAAATGCTTTGCTTGAAGTCCACACCAAATTGGTGTAAAACAAAACCCAGGTCACCTGTCTAGCATTAGGGCCATAGAGAAAATCGTCACCATAGGAGTTCTTTTCATATAAGGTATATAAGTTAACATTAACAGAGCAAGAATACAGTAATAAAATCAAGAATTCTTGAAAAAAGTTTTTGAAAGATGTTCTTTTACCTTCAATGCTAAAAATTTGTTCTCCTAGTGTCCCAGCCTTTTCTAGTAGAGCGGCTTCATCAGACACGTTGAAAAAATATCTTTCTGTTGGAATACTGGCAATTGCTTTAATTTCTTTTATTAAATTTTTAGTATCAAGGGCGTTTCTGTTTAAGTACCCAAGAACCTTAAAAATAGAGGAAGAGGGGAAAAAAGTCATTATAGCTGTACTCCAATATCCCTACTAGCACTTTCTAGTATTTATTTCTGAACACAATAGGACCTCTGGAGAAGTAAATCCACACCCCCTTCGTCAACAGGACTGAAAATCAACAAGAAGCGAGACTGAGTGCAAATCTTTTCTATAAAGCTGTGAGCACCAAATGAGAAAGTGCAGTCTTGCGAAGTGATGTTATAAAGGAGCACTTACCCATCCACTGAAAGACAACTAAAAAGAAAATCTACTTACTGCTATGCCAAACCTCAGTATATTGTCATTGTTGCATTGATCAATCACGGCTTTCAACATTGAACCATCATGCGATTCACCGTCAGTTACAACCACCATTACTTTGGTGGCACCCGGTCGTCCTCCAGCCACTGCTGCATAAGCAGAATCTCTGTGGCAGATAAGATTAAAGACTCACGATCAAAAGATGAAGCTAATATGTGGACCTCTGGTTAGAAATATAAATGTGAAACTAACTTCTTTGAGCATGACCTACTGTGACTTAGAATTTCTCTCTATAGGTCTGGTGACATATTTACCTACATTCTATTTGCAGCTTATAGGGAAATATATATAAATCTTACTTGGCATTAACAATAATTTCCATAGTTTCTATGGCATGTGTGTGTGTATTTACATCAAGAATCCTTAAGATTATCTTCTGATAACAAAATTCAATTCATTAATATTAATCAACAGAGCAAAGATATTCAGTCCTATCACCAGTTTTACTCCCTGGATCTGCATTTACTTTCTCAATATGAAATTGCTTTTTAAAAAGTAATAAATATACTTGGTGAAAGAATGTCAAAGCATTTGGAAAGGTATAAAATAAAAATCTGACACCAAGCCACTGTTCCAAAGGTAACCACCTTTATCTGTTTGTTTCCTTATAGAAAACATTTTATTTAGATGTATATGCGTAATCTACTCCTCAAATGTTCATGCAAATGGGGACATAGGCTAGCCAATTATTTTTCATTTTTTAAAAAGACTTTATTCATTTATCTGACAGAGAGAGAGAGCACAAGCAGGGGGAGCAGCAGAGGGAGAGGGAGAAGCAGGGTCCCTGCTGAGCAAGGAGCCTGATGCAGGACTCCATCCCAAGACCCTGGGATCATGACCTGAGCTAGGGGCAGACACTTAACCAACTGAGCCACCCAGGTGCCCCAACACAGTAATTTTTCATTTTGATGGAGATCTTTCCACATAGGCACATACAAAGCTCTCTCTTTTAAGATTTTGACTTATTTATTTGAGAGAAAGAGCAAGAGAGAGTGCACAAGTAGTGAGGTGGGAAGGGGCAGAGGGAAAGGGAGAAGCAGACTCCTGCTAAGCAGGGAGTCTGATGTTGGGCTCAATCCCAGGACCTTGAGATCATGACCTGAGTCAAAGGCAGATGCCTAACTGACTGAGCCACCTAGGTGCCTCCAAAGCTCTCCTTTTTAATGGCTGCATAATATTTCATTATTTGGGGGTAACCGTAGTTTAACCAATTCTCCATTATTGTGCATTTAGGCCATTTTGAGTTTTACAAGTAATGCTGTAATAAATGTCCTTGTGTATATATCTTGGCATACTTTTCCAAATGTATTAGTAGGATAAAATCTTAGTAGTGAAATTACTGGGACAAAAGATTTACACATTTCAAACTTTGAAAGATATTGCAAAATTGGACTCTAAAAATTTCTACCAATTTGTATTTCCATAATGTAAAAGAATGCAAGTATCTCCATCTCCTTTCCTTAACAATGAGGATTATTAAACTTTTAAATTGGGGACATTCTGATAAGTGAGAATATATAATTGTCTTAATATGTGTTTTTTTCATTATGAAGAGATAATGAATATTTTTTTTAAAAGATTTTATTTATTTATTTGACAGAGAGAGACACAGCGAGAGAGGGAACACAAGCAGGGGGAGTGGGAGAGGGAGAAGCAGGCTCCCTGCAGAGCAGGGAGCCCAATGCGGGACTCGATCCCAAGACCCTGGGATCATGACCTGAGCTGAAGGCAGTCGCTTAACCAACTGAGCCACCCAGGCGCCCGAGATAATGAATATTTTATGTTTATTAGCCATTTGTATTTTTTCTCTATGAACTCTTGATTTTTCTTTTATCTTTGACCATTTTTCTTTGTATTGTTCATTATTTTCTAATTAGTAAGAGCTCTTTGTTAATTAAGAAAATCATCTTTTTCATATATATCACAAATATTTTCCTCAGTTCATTAATCTTTTAAATTTTAGTGGTATTACCTCTGTATATAAATTGCATATTTTGACATCAATTTTATTAGTTTTTTATGTGTATTCTTTTATATTTGACATGGTATTTTAAAAGGACCTCTTATCTCTAGACTTGTTTCTTTAATTTCCCAAGTTTCTCATAGTCCCTTAATAATTACATTTTCTTAGATTTAAATTTTGGTGCAGCTGAAATTTATTTTGATTCAAGGAGTGAGTCAGGAATTCAGCTTTATTTTGTTTCTAGATCGGTATCCAGTTGTCTAACAACTTTTTTCCTGTCTATTGGATACTCCTGTTGCACATTCTTTCTGGGGAATGCCACCCACTCCTTTGGACTACCTACCACCTGTATGATGACACCTTAAAGTCTACATCTATTTCCATTCATCTCTCCTATTTCATATTTATACATTCAATGCCTGCTGAATATTTTCACCTGAATGTGCAAGGGACACTTTAATTTCAACATGTTTAAAACTGAGAATATCATTTTATTCCCTAAAACTTTCCTACACAACAGAATGTTGAAGTGTAGAAAAATATTTCATATTTGTCACCCAGACAAATTTGAATACAGTACTCACATGAAATACCTGTTGAGTGAATTATACTCTTTATGACACATGGTAGAATTCATGTATGATTATAAGATTTCTGAGGGTAGAAACTGTGCCTCATTTGTTCTGATTAACTTCAGGTCTTGGAATAATAAATCATAACCATAGACAGTCAATGAAATAAGATTAATGGAAAATGGCAATATTTACTAAAAGAGTGTCAGAATTCTATTTGATGTTGTAAAGAAACAGACCAAGAGAAAGAAAGAAAGAAAGAAAGAAAGAAAGAAAGAAAGAAAGAAAGAAAGAAAGAAAGAAAGAAAGAAAGAAAAAAGAAATGAAGAAAAGAAAAGAGAAGAAAAGGTAATTAACTTCTGGAAGGTGTGAGTAAGAAGTTAGGTGATTCTCCTAACAATGGAAAGACTTCAATTAGCTTGGGAAATAGTGGTAAGAGCAAGATGATGGTACAGGAGAGAAAACCAAAGTTCTGAAAAGATGATAAAAGCCAAAAAGTCACATCTTAACAGACAGTGGCCATTCTTTTTGTGAGGAGATCTTACCAGGTCCCTGAGCTCCTTCCAGGGAAAAATACCACATCCATACTTCCTGCTGAAAACACAGGCCCTCTGCAGTTTGTAGCTCCTTCTAGGCCATTCTCCATGTCAACCTACTGTTCCTCTGAGTCTAGGTTACCAGGCCATAAAGGGCACTTTGCCAGTTAGCAACTGACCTATTAACTGGCCACAGCCTGTGAAATGGTGTGGCCCAAAAGAACATCTCAATAGGGACAATAGAGATTAACCAAATCAATCCACTTGTAGGAAATCCACTTTTGAGACATATAGGGAAAGTCACCAGTTGATAGAAACAGCAACTAACATATACACCCAGAAAAAAGGAGGGGCAGATACAATAGGAAATGCAGAAATAGGAAAGACAGGATACATGGTGACTGGCCAGACGTGTGCTACTAAGGAAGAACAAAAAGAATAAAGAAAACCTGCAAGTGCTTACTTTGAATGACTGAGGGGAAAGGCAGTAGCATGAATCAAAATGGAAAAGTCGTGAGCATGGGTAGGGAAAAGAATAAGGCTGGTTTAGGATGTACTGAATTTGATAAGTGAGCCAACACTCCAAATTAAACATCTCCAGCATCAGCTGGATGCCTGTGTGAATTCTGGGAGAGAGTTCAGAGCTGACCACATAGCAATGTGGTGACCTACACAGGGCTAATGGAGATGCCATGAGAGTGGAGACCATGCCTAAGAGGAAAGTGAGACAAAAAAAGAGGTCTCTGTTTAGTGAAGAAAAAATAGGAAAAGGAGCCAATGAAGAGGCAAAATTGTTGCAGAAAGTTGGCAGGGATTCTAAAAGTTGGTGATGTCATGGCAACTGGGGCTGGAAGAGCAGTGTGTGCTCATCAGCAGCAGATAGTGAGGGAAGCTAAAGAGGATGAAGTTTGAGGCAGGACCACTGGGTTGCTGGCTGATAAAGAGGCCCACGTTTACCTGGTGGCAAGCCATATGTTTCAAGGAAGTGGAGGGAGGGAGTAAAGACAATTTTTCAAGGAGTATGGTAGTGGAAGGAAGAAATGCACAACACAAGGACAAAGGCAGGAAGTGGGTTTAAGGGAAGGTGAAGTTATTTTTCTCATTTATTTTTTAAGAATAGGAGAATCTTTAGCATTTTTGTAAAGGTACGTGATTAAAACAGAGTGAAGATGAACGCAGGAGTGCTGAGAAAATAGAGAAACTGAGCTAAAAATTAAGAGCGTTGCATAGTTGTAACATTCACATTGCCCTGGGTTGTAATAAGCATAGTGAACCCATTCCATTTAATTCAGACTCCTAGGTCATTAACATTTAAGATTCTATGACCCTTCTTAATATGCATGAAGTGCTCCATTAGCTCAAGTCGTTTGTGGCCTTGATAAATATTAACAAATAATTGCAGATCGCTCCATTTCCTACTTAATCTAAGGTCTTTTAATGTCATTTCATCTACTTCATATACAATCTTTATTTTATTTTTTTTAAAGATTTTATTTATTTATTTGACAGAGAGAGAGACAGCGAGAGAGGGAACACAAGCAGGGGGAGTGGGAGAGGAAGAAGCAGGCTTCCCGCGGAGCAGGGAGCCTAATGCGGGGCTTGATCCCAGGATCCTGGGATCATGACCCGAGCCGAAGGCAGACGCTTAACGACTGAGCCATCCAGGCGTCCCGCATATACAATCTTTAAAAAAATCATGGAATATCTTTTAAAAGTCCTAGAAATCAAAGATTTTAAAATTTCATTTCCTATTGCCTTTTCAAAGTGTTCAAGTGACAGAACGTTTGAACTTTTCTTCTTTATTACTTCTAATTTAAGTGTTAAGTACCAGGTACATTATTTTTGTCTTTTTTTTTTTGGTCTTTCTTATTTACAAGCACTTCTATTTTATCAAAATATTGGGCTATTAGCATCATAACTTACTTTGCATATTGAATTGCTTTGAATGTATTTGTGAGGTCTCCCCCATACTGGTATGTCTGGGATGTTGCTTCAATCATTTCAGCTTTGGTTTTGAAAGTGTTCAGGTTAAATACAACTCTTGGATTGTTGGCATACTGAATTAACCCCACCTTCAAGAAAGCAGAAGTTCATTAAAGGCTTGTCATTAAGTTATAAATAATTTCTAATTAACCAATATAATCAAAATCAAAAGTGCATCTGGATGTGGGCTGATAGTATAAGGGAATCATTTCCAATTTTGTTCTTAAGAATAGTTATTTTTCTTCCAATAGAATGACTTCTTTGTTAGAGGCTGTCAGGAAAAAGCAGCAGTACTTGTTGATAAGCAAGATGAGGTCCTATCTGGTATAATTTGGTTCTCAAGAGTAACAGTTACATATTTTCAACTATAATAGTTATAGATTATCTAGTAATAGATTTTAAAGCACTGTCTTGTAATATTTTAATATGGATAAATATTAGAATAAAGTTCATTAACAAGAAGATTAAATGATATAAATTTTCTAATTAACAATGGATATGAGCTAGTAAACAATTATAAGCAGTCATAGATGGAAGATAACAGCTCATCAATTGAGAATATTTGCATATTAAACAAAGAATTAGATTTGAATACAAAAAACCCAAAACAAAACAGTGAGCTAATCAACACAGTCAATTTATTGTTCTGGATTTCCTCTAATCACAGACTTCAGCATTTTTGGAAGAAACCTGCTATATGAGCATGTGGGCAAGAAGTTTCTGGCCTTCAGAGAAGATGCCATTAGGGAGAGTCTTATTTGAAAGACCTGAGAGAGAGAACAACTTCTGAACAAGATTCTGGGGCACATATCCTAATCCTTTAGATCAAGAAGGCCAAACACTTCTATTAACATCCTGGTTCTCAGCACTGAAATCATCCTCTATGCCTAGGAGTTGGGGGCTTTCAGAACAAGAAGTGGCAATAGGAGATTAGTGGTAAAAAGGTCTCTAAAATAGAGGTCAGTCTGTAAGGAAGGTGGAAGGTGCAAGGCCTGGATTTCTGAGTTCAATCAGCTACTTTTGCTAGGAAGCAATCAAGTAGGCATTAGGAAGATGTGAAAAACATGATATTGCTGGAGCCTTCTCCTTAGGATAGGATGTAAGACTTGAGAGAGAGGATGGGTCAAAAATAACTCTAAGGATTTAAAAGTCTAAAATGAGAGGAAGATGTTAGTAACTCCCATGACAGCCCCAGAACTTCGGTGTGAGAAAGGGGAGTGATGCATAGAAGACTCAAAGAAATGTAGTATATTAGGACTTACAGAAAGGTCAAATTTAGATTGGAAGAAAAAGAGACTTTGTAAAGCACCTCTAGAGATGAAAAAGATGTATTAGGGTAGGAAGACAAGAAGAGGAAGGCCTTAAATTCCTTGCGAGAGACTATGAAATAGAGTAAATCTTGTAATGGGGGTAATCCATTTAGAGACAGATAAAATAAGCAGATACTTAGGAACACTTCTCTTATGATGGGCCTTAAGATGGTGCTATACAGAAATCAGTGCCATACCTAGTCTTTTTAAAAAAGATTTTATTTATTTGAGAGAGAGAGAGAGAGAGCACGAGCTGGGGGAGGGGCAGAGGGAGAGGGACAAGGAGACTCTCTGCTGAGCATGGAGCCTGCCATGGGGCTTGATGTGGGGCTTGATCCCAGGACCCTGAGATCATGACCTGAGCTCAAGTCAGACACTTAACTGACTGAGCCACCCACGTGCCCCTACACATAGTCTTATTCACAGAAGTTTCACACAGTGAAACCTCCAAAGTTTCAGTGGACATTAGTGTCCTTTAGGTATTGAAAAGCAATGTCAATGGGGAAAACATACAATAATATTTTGTAATACTGTACAGGAAAGCAGAAAATCAAATTTCAATATAGCTAACTGCAAAACATTTAGGGGGAAATGTTCCAACAATTGTTACTAGATGTTGGACACTAAGGCCTCAGATGACAGGAACAACCCAAAAACATACACTGGTAACTGTGAACTGGTTCCTGTTGATGTTGGTTCTACAACCAGAATAAGCCATGAAATGGCAAATCCAATAAAAAAGAAAGAAAAAAGACCCAAAATTTTAACAATAAATGCTATTTGGTTTTTGGAAAGTGAGAAGCTTCTGTTCCTGAGTTTTGGATGCCTATCTCAAGAAGACAGAAAAGCAAATTAAAGACTCATTAAAACACAGGCAGCTACACAAAATTATTTAAAAGAAGTGTCCTGTGTAAAAAAGGAAGGATAGACTAAAATATGATAAAAGACTAAAAAATAATGAAAGATAGGATTATACTGTCTATGGACTTCTTTATAAAAAAATTCCAGAATTCAAGGACAATTGTTTTACCAGCAAACAATAAAAAGAAATTATTAGTCCAAGTGGCTGTCAAGAAAGAATACATACAGGATTTTAAAATGTATTAATAAATTCATGAGTTATAGGAGGGAAAAATAAGCAACTAAAGAGGATTAAAATGCTATATCTCAGGGATGCCTGGGTGGCTCAGTCAGTTAAGCATCCGACTGTTGATTTCAGCTCAGGTCATGATCTCAGGGTCGTGAGATCGAGCCCCGAGTCAGGCTCTGTGCTGGGCGTGGAGCCTGCTTGAGATTCTCTCTCTCTCTCTCTCTCCCTATGCCCCTCCCCCCACTTCCACTCTCTCTCTCTTTCTCACACACACACAAAATGCTCTATCCCACATCCGATGCTTGTGTCAGAAACAGAAGTCTCAAATCTCAAAAACCAGCATTGGGCAAAGGCATAGACAGAACAACTCAATGTAGTACAAGTTTCAATTAACTGTCAAGATTACCATTAAATGCATTTAATATGGGGATCTGACAAATGCAAAAATTAAGACGTCATAGCTAACAATATTTTCTCAGAAAGAAAGCTGTGGGTTAGTGTATGTATTATTCAAATCCATACCTGTGTTTTTTTTGGGCCTATATCCAGGCCTTGGACAAATTTTTCCAAAAAATTCTTTACTGCATCCCAGGGATAAATACTGTTTGATTCATCACACACAACCACAACATCTATGAGGGAAGGGCAGGCTACACAGGAAAAGATGAAAGAAACAGATTTCCATAGGTAATTCAGTCTTCACACACATATGCAAATGGAACAAAGTAAAATGGACTTGAGGAGTTGGGTGGCACTTGATAAATCCCACCTTCCCCCTTCATGTAAGGCATTGCTCAGACCCTCTGCACATTCATCACTTACTCTGAACTGCAGGTGCAAAGCTGGTCAAGAGCTGAAAATCGGGACTGACGTCAGAACAAACCCCAGTTGTGTAATATTGACTTCCACACTGCTGTGCCCACAGGGGCCCACACGTCTTCAGAGAAATGAGAGCAATGACAAAACATGGAAAACATGAGTCCTCTACGTCTCCATTGGTAAAACTCAGAGATCATTTCTATGATTTTACCAGATACTAGGAATTGTCAACTCTTGTAATGAACTAACAGATCAAAAAAAAGCCTCTGAGAGAAAGTGTCTCAGAAAGAAAGAGCAACCAGAAGTAAGGGAGAAAGAAGGTGGCCGCTGGGCTGGGAGGCAGGTCTTGATGGTGCAGGGAGAAGCCCCTCTGGTCACCCCCCAAGCTAGAGAAAGCGGGTGCTTTCCTTCCTCTTCGGTCTCTCAGTTACCTGGGCCTCAGGGGCTGAATCTGTAAACGAGGATAATCATACCTATTATCTTTTAAGGTTGTTGTAAAGATTAAGTGGGTCTATAGATATAAAACATTTAGAACAGTGCAGGGTAAATAGCAAAATGCTACATAATTGTAAGCCAGCTTCATTGCTATTATTATTCTTGAACAAAGATTATACCACTCACTTATACTACTATGCTCTCTGTCTACTACCTCTTATTCTATTCAGCAGAAACCATAGGCCCACAAGCCCCAGGGCCAGGCAGGAACCTAGGAGTGTTCTGGGCTGGTATAGACGCCATGATGAATGAAGAACCCAGGGGCAGCCACCATGGCTCTTGCCCATTGCCAGCCTTGCCAGATCTTTCCAATTTTCAAGGAGGGCCTGAGAGGACAAATTCTTTGTGAAAATTCAATTAAAAAAACCCCCAAAAAACTCTATGGGCTCAACAAACACAATGATGTTCATGAACTGCCAGTTTCTGACTTTGTTCTAAAGTATTTATTTGAGGACTTCTGATCCCCCTTTTTCTACTACATAAAACCTTAGGTCATCCAAACTACCACTTGTCTCCCTGCCCACACCAGACATACTACAATTCTTCATAGTCCCGTCAACCCAGCCTCAAATCTCTCTTTTTCAGCAGCCCTTGAATGCCAAGAACTCCTGCTTCAGTTGTGATTAAATCACACAGAAAACGTCACATTAAATAATATTAAAATTGCTAGATGTAAAAGGACAAAAATGGGAAAGAGAAGTCTAGACAAGATCTTAAAGAGCACCTACAAAGTTTAACATTAGGTAAAGCTGTGGATCAATTATTAAAGCTTAACAAAAAAGTGTGAACTTGCAAAAAGCAATTGGAAGAATAAAAGGGAATTTATTTGATCCAGTAATTGTTGGTTGCTCGAAGGAAAAGCAGCTGTGGTCATATTTCGTGCTCAATGAATAAGCCATAGTTCTTCCTCCTATAAAACTGGTTCATTTTGCCAGTTAGTTAAGGGACAATCACAATTGACGGCTTTGGTTAGTTTACCAAATAACAGATACCAATTATTGATTCCTATATCCCCATCCCCAATCGTTTTTTTTTAAATCACCTTGAAAAACAGTAACTCATGAAATATTCAAGATCTTTTTTTTTTGTTTTAAAAGCAATGGAAAACAGCATTTAGAAGTTGAAATTAGAATATGCCAATTGTTAATGCCAGAACTACATTCCTGCTTTAAGCCCAGAACTTAAGAAGTTTAAAAAAAAAAATGTGATGATTGTCAGTCTTTTCCACATAATTCTTAAGAGTATCTTAAGATTTTGACCTTTTAGGTATGTAAAGGAAGCTTTGGCTTTTTTTTTCTTTCTTTTTTTCCTCTCTCTCTCTCCCTCCCTCCCCCTTTGCGCCTTCTCTGCTTGCTACATTGATTGTTAAATTAATCTCTTAAATTCTCTAGCAGTTTTAAATTACTTTACCTGAAGTTACACATTAAAAATTTTGAAGTACAACCTGTAATCCCTATATCTCAATATGTTCCTCTTCCTGAATTTATTCAACCTTAAAAACAAACAAGCAAACAAAAAAAAAAAAAAAAAAAAAAAAAAAAAGAGGAAAGCAACGCTATTATAAAGACTTTGGGATATCATAAACTGTGAAGATTCATTGCAATATTCATTTTGCTTTGAATTACACATATTATAAGCAATACCTGATATCTGAATACCAATGTCTGAATACTAGTATCTATTAGTAAAAGTAGAAAGACATTGTTAAAAATTGATTATATTTTTAGAATAATTTAGTTATTATACACATAGGCTTTTAAGTTAGCATGTCAATCGTATAGACATAACTAATGTAAAGTTAAATTAAGCATTCTATGGCTATTTTAACAGGGCGATATAACTAGGATCATCTATGAGCTGGTGGGAATGTCTAATAAAATTGGGTTTTTATTTGCCTTAAAATTTTTTTTGGTATGTGATGGTTTTCATTTTTTAATATAGTCAGATATTTTCAACAATTTCCTATATTATTTCTCCTGTTAGTTCTAAGCTCAGAAATTTTTCCGTCTTTCAGAAAATTTCCATTTTCTTCCAGTTTTTAATATTAACTCTTTAATTCACTTGAAAGCATATTTGAATATACAAGTTATTAACCAATTAATTGTCCCCAGACCGCTTGTTAAAGAAGGTATTTTTTTCTCACTGATTTGTGATTCTTTCCTCAGCATTCTAGAAACTAAATGAGAGTAAACACTAATATGAAATAAGAAGAGACCAAGCCATGACTTAGATGATATCAGATTTACCAACAGTTACAGCAAAGGATTAAAGACAGAAATACTCTTCAGCTTTGAAATCCACTCTCTGAATTAGCAGTACCTATCTTGAATGTTCCTACGGGAAGGAGAAATGAGACCTGGAATTCTGCTATTATCAACAAATGCTAAGAGTACTTTCCAAGGGCAAAGAATCGGTGTTCCTTGTGTTGCTTTTCTCTAAGACATTCTGTGGCAATGCTTTTGCTGAATATCTTAAGAAGTCTATACATCAACAGATGGGCATTTCATGTTGTATATCCACAATGGATGATTTATCCAAAAGCAAACTCTAATATTTAAGTGTCAAGATTTGATTTGATAGGTGGGATGGTGAGAAGACACTAACTTCATACTTTCTTGAAATAGATGGGAATTTGAAAGGTAAACACTCACGAGAAATCCTCCAGTGCCCATGTTCCTTGTGAGAGTCAAGCCAAGGCTCATGTTGGTTTTCATTTCAGTAACATTGGGAATGCTTGTGGCACCTTTCAAAGGGAAAAATATTTTAAAAAGTGAATAAATCTTCACCATTTATTTAAACTGGTTTAAAAAAAGACCCCCACACTGATGCTTATGTGTAGCATTGAATTTGGTGTCATATATCCAGGTACTCACATTACATAATCACATGTAAAGAAAGGAGGCCTTCAGTGATCTGGTAGCTTGTACACTTAAATGAGTGAGGTTACAGAATGTCAGATATTAGGGGGTAGTGTCTGTAAAGGGCATGACTTACAGGCATTTAAATTTAAATTTTTTAAAAACAAAATGCTGGCCAAACAATACAAACCTGAGGACACTATTCGGTCTACAATTTGCCAACCTACTCTTTTCAAGGTCACAACAGCTCCATCTAATGTTTTATTATGGATCAGAAAAAAAAAAATCCTTAAAGTGTTATAAAAAAATGCATACAGTAGAAGCTGGCCCAAAACATTAATGACTGAATTTTAAAAGGAAGTCATGAGACTAGCCATGTAAAATAGTAAATACAAACAATTACGAAGTATTCTAAATAGTGACAATTTTTTTTTATTAGAATGCAACAGAGTGTTTCTCAGCATCTCTAAAAGCAACACTAGTATTGACAGGTCTATACCTAATGGTTTGTTTTGAGGAGGGAAAGAGGTATGGTTAGACTTAGATATCTATAAATAATCAGCAAAATAATCCTGAACATTGATGGAAACTGGTCCACAGTCTGGGGGTAGATGGTCCAAGAGGCAGCACATTTCTCATGTATCTTATTAAATCAGGTCTTTAAGCTGTGTTGGAAATTTGGATACAATTGGACCCCATATGACTAAAGATAATAAAGGCAAAAAAGTTGTCTATGTTTCTTCAAGACAGACTATGATTGATTTTGTTATTTTTTTAAATTAGAGTTACATCAAATGAGATCTTGTTATTTGTAAAAAGTCATATTGCTAATTACTACTTACTTTCCAAATTTAGCTTTTCACATGTAGCATTGGACAGATCAACAGGACATTTATACACATCTCCCATTCGGTTCTCAGGAAAGCCACTCCAAGGTGAACCAACTAGTAACCTAGAAATAGGAATTATTTTTCATTAGATATAAAATGTTAGTATAGTTTCTTAAAGTTTAAAACTGACCACAAAACAATGAAAAAATCCCCCACATTTAATTTCAATCTTAATAAGAAAATAGTTCATATTTGTTCAGTTATAATTTGTTCTTTTTCCTTTTCTCTTAGCTGATCAAGATTCTTAATGAATATTTGCATACAGTATAGAAATATAATGCAGGTCACAAATGTGATCTGCATATGTAATTTAAAATTTTCTAGTAGTCACATTAATACAATAAAAAGCAAAGCTGAAATTCACTTAAATAATATATTTTATCTAACTTGATATACCAAACTAGTATGCAATCATTAAAAATAAAAATTATTAATGAGCTATATGACATTCTTTTTTCCATACTAAGTCTTTGAAATTCAGTGTGTTTTATACTCAGAGCACAAATCAGTATGGAGAAGTAACATTTCAAGGGCTCAGTAGCCACATGAGGCTAGCAGCTGCCTTATTGGTCAGCACAACTTTAAAGAATGAAACAATATTAAAACCAAAACAAAAACTAACATTTGTTGAGTGCTTTTCTTGTCCTAAGTATTTTCATATGTTAATTTACTTAGGGAACAGATGAGTTATCTAAGTGGTTTTACTGTTTATTGTCTATATAAGAGGATCCTTAGCAAAAACACAGAGCAAATATACTGTGGAGCTTTCTTTATGTGTAACGTGTTTGTAGCCAGAACACAGGATGCAGAGTTTGGAGACTGGTGCTCCCATCCTCCTTTTGGTTAGTTTCATTTCCTACCCAGCTTGTCCAACCAGAGACTAAATGTTTCCCTGTGGAGACACTCACCTAACATTTCTGGTTACAGAAGAATGGACAGAAAGAGTCCATGTAAACAGTCTGATCTTCAGAATCTATAGTAGGTTAATTACTCAGCAGCATTCAGTTACTAAGGAAGCATATTTGATTCAATGTTTTTTTTCCCTGTCAAGGTTGGCAGATTAGATGAAACTTAAATTCTTTCATGAGCCTTCTGCAAAAATATTTTATCATTGTTGATTAAACAACATGTGCCTCACACTAAGTGCCACAATGGATACAAAAAGACTAAGGTGCAATCTACTAAATCTAGTAAAACTATTTAAGATACATGACAAGTAAAACAATAACAACACAAATGAACAGAAAGATATAAATAAGTTCCTCTCTGGAACAAATGTTAAAATGGTCAGAGGATGCAAAAATGGATATTGAAAGATGAAGGTGGCAGTCATCATTCTCAGCAGAGGGAAGAGTGTGAATAATCATGGAAAGAAGAAAATACCAATTATTTTGAAAGACAGTTAATGATTTACACAGTAAGTGAGAGCTAAGTGTAACTGATTCTGATGCCCAAGCTCTTAACCCTTAGCTTATTCTCCTTCCTCTTAGCTGCACAAAGGCCTGGCAATAGGGCCCAGATTGGGAAAACTATCTGGACAAATGGGCTGTGTTCCAGAATAATCAAGGAGTGGTGGATCTGGAAACTGATGGTCAGGCCATGTCTACCGTGATGAGGGTGTGGCTGTGTGGTGTATAAGGAGGCTATGGACTGGAAGGACACCAGCCAAGGTCAACTTGTAAGAGCACATCCACACTGTGGGCCCAGGCTGTACTGTTCATAATGTAGGTAAGAGCAGATCATGTTCAAATAATACTAAATGTGGTAATTTGGGCGACTTTCATTATGCACATTTTCCATCCATCCTCACCAGCCCAAGGGCAAAAAACACACTGAAGAGTAAAAATTAAGTGTTTCTCATCTAAAATTTAACCATCTTGTTCTCCAGAGTCTTCAGCAGTAAAGCACCATCATGGAGTTACCTACTTCTCAATGAGAAAGCTCAAAAGGCTACTTGCTGTCTCCTCTTGACTAAGTGCTCCCTGGACACACCTCCCCACCTCACTTCCTCCAACCTCACCAAAGAATTCGGGATTTGATAATCTCACATTCAGGAGGGGGTATGACATCTCCACTACTGCTGTGAGAGCTGTGGCCTCCTACACGAATCAAATGGGAAGAAGAGAGAAAAAGAAACATCTGCACAACTGTGTGCCTCTTAACAAAAAGGATGTGAAAGTACTTGTAAATCTCTCAAAGAAAACATGTAAATCTCTGGCAGTATGATGCCATATTAAACTAACACAAGACAACAGGTAACAGTGGAAAACCAGATCACCTTGGTGACTGGTAAAGAACCAGGGTGTCCTCATCATATATGACTCATTCTTTCAATATGGTGAACCACATTAGTTAGTAGCCTCCAGGTCATGCTAGTGACTACAGAGAATGTTTCAAAGACCATTGTTAACTCCCTTATTGGCAACATTTCCAGTAGACTCTCCTCGCTTCTACCCACGCTTCTACCCACAGGCCTCAGTGAAATCCTGGTTCCTGACAATTCATCCTCATAAGGAAAGGCTACGACGTCACCAGTGGCTACTCCAAGGGAATTGTGACATTCTTATATTAATCAGACAGGAAGGTGAGGGAGGCTGGTATATTTAGCTATAAAATCTTTTTTTTTTTTTTTAAGATTTTATTTATTTATTCATGAGAGACAGAGAGAGAGACAGAGGCAGAGGGAGAAGCAGGCTCCCCGTGGAGCAGGGAGCCCGATGCGGGACTCGATCCCAGGACCCTGGGATCATGACCTGAGCCGAAGGCAGACGCTTAACCGACTGAGCCACCCAGGCGTCCCTAGCTATAAAATCTTATGTAATCAGCTGTAACAGGAAGAAACATGCCAGGAGAAAATGTTACAAAGGTGGAGAATAGGATAGGTGAGTGAGTAAACCCTGCTGTAGTATGGTAAAACATCTTTGAAGGAATGGATTTAACGTAATCACAACAGACAAAAGAGCTGCATGAACAGTCGTGTGTGCTGATTCTCAAAACAAAACAAAATCCCAAGATATAAACTCTCTTTCCTACAGTGAAACTGGGAATTCTTCCAAGATGACTTAAAATAACACTTACTGTTCAATTATCTTGTGGGGAAATAGTGATTATGTAGAGTTCCAAAACACAGACAATTTGCCCACCTCCAGTGGAATTCAAAATACTTTGTTTAGTTAGTAAACAGTATTTATGGTGGTGTAGGTAGTTTAAACCTACAATCCAGGGGCTGTTATAAATATCTTCCTTTGGTCTGTGAGTCTATAAACTCTGCAAGTGTTCCTTTAATACTAGCGATTTTTCTAGAGATTATTGACAGAATGTACTTAAGATAGTAGGGCAAAACATGTTTTCTTTGATTCAACAAACGTTTATTGAAATCCTGTGGGGCTGAAATTTTGCACAACTCCAGGGGATACCATTTCCATATAAATAGTGTGCTCTGGCCTTGTTAAGTATGCAGCCTATGAGGCTGTACGTGGTGGCTAGACCTACTACGTGCCAGACTTGATTCTAGGCACTGGCGATACGTCAATGAATAAGTCAGTCAAACAATTCTGGTCTCATGAAGCTGACATTCTAGTGGGGAAAAGATAGACAATAAATTTAATAAGTAAATAAAACATATCATGATGATGATCAGTGCTTTACGGGAAAAAGGAGAAGGATGTGGCGTGGAGGGTGTTATAATCTTTATTAGAATGGTCAGGAAGGGCCTCACTGAAAAGGTGCAATTTAAGCAAAGACTCGAAGGAGGCGAAGGAGTAAACCATAAGACTCTGGTGGAAGAATACTAGGCTGTGGGAACAGCGAGTGCAAAAGCCCTGTGGTTGGACCACACTGTAAGAGGAAGAATGTGGGAGGAGGTGGTCAGATTGGTAATGGGGCCAGATCCCATAAGATTGATATGAAATTCTAAGAACATGGCTTTGCCCGTGAGTGACATGAGAAAGCCATTGGAGGATTTTTTTTTAACACAGTAGTAATGTGAGCTGACATATTTTAGAAGGATTTGGAAGACTGCTTTGTTGAGAATTATTGCATTGGGCCAAGGTGAAGCAGGTGAAGCACTTCAGAGGCAAATGCAAAATCCAGGCAAGAGGTGATGAGGGGTTCCTACAGGGCTGTGAGAAGTGATCTTATTTTAGATATATTTTGAAGGTAGGGCCATCAGGATTTCTTGAGAGGTTAGTTTTTAAATACACACACCCACACCCATACTCATGCAAACACACACACACACATAGAGTCAAGGAGGCCTGGGTGGCTCAGTTGTTAAGCGTCTGCCTTCGGCTCAGGTCATGGTCCCAGGGTCCTGGGATCGAGTCCCACGTTGGGCTCCCTGCTTGGCGGGAATCCTGCTTCTCCCTCTCCCACTACCCCCTGCTTGTGTTCCCTCTCTCACTATGTCTCTCTCTCTCAAATAAATAAATAAAATCTTAAAAAAAAAAAAAAGAAACTAAAAGGAACCAAGTGGTCATGATCAGATAAGGGGGATACTCTCAGTAGAGCAAGATTTTGAGATAGGATGAGCTCAAGAGCTCAGTGTGAGGTATTTTAAGTTTGAGGTATCTATCAGACATCCAAGGGGATATTTTACTTAGGATTAGAAGCCTATTGTATATAACACATTAATGTAAGAAATTTCAAAGTCTATAGTATATAAATATAAATATTGTTCCTTACATTGTTTAGTTCCAAGCCACTGACAACACAAGGGTTCTGGTGAGTTCTCTATAGCTACTTGCTTCCTGCTTGAAATGTAAAAGGAGTTTATGATGCAAAGAAATCACCTGGGAAGACTTCAAGTCTCCAGGAAGGAGGAAGACAGGTAAAGAGAGTTCATTTTTAGCTCCTGGTTGGGAAATACTGTTGCTATAAATTTAATAGTTAAACCCTTTGGCGTGTGTTGAAAGGAAATTTTAGTTTCTAAGCTTCATTACGCTACCTCAGGCTCCTTTGGCTGCCAGATTGCTTCCTTAAATAGGGGATGGCTAAACCCTCAAGGTCTTTCAGTTCCCTGATGTCGAGTCCACCAACCTCATTATTGCTAAAACATCTTAAG